GTGTGGTCACACATACATAGGGGGGAATAATCGCACTTTGCATGTGAGGGTGGGAGAGCATATCCCAAAATGGCTAGAAAAACACTTTAACTGTAAAAAACCAACAGACGCAGGTGTCAGACTACCAACCTCGTCTATAGATAAACACCTAATCGAGATGAACTATAAGATTGACGTTAACTCAGCCTTTAAGGTCATCTATAAAAACGGTCAAGGGCACTTATTGAAATATGCCGAGGTTATTTTTTTTATTCCTTCACGTTCCCAGTGGAACATAGGGCTTCAAGCTAGAAGCTTGAAGTTTGTGTAGCAGTGTTTATTTTGACTGGATGAGGTTGCTAGCCTCATGCCCAACTTTTCCTCTTCACCAGCTTTTATTTCTGGCTTAGTGAGGTAAAGGACTGCGTCGGCCGGGGATCGAACCCCGGACTATGTGCATGGTCGGCGAGCGTCCTAACCGCTATGCCACCGACGCACAATACTTTTTATGCAGCCAATATTTTTTTATTTATTAGACCGTTAGGGGGAATTAAAGCTCAATAGATAAACTTTTATTTTATTGCAGCTACTGTTGTCTTCATTGAATAAATTGTGGGAGAATTCTAATGACGATTTGACTGCATTTTTGTTTTCCTGCGTTTTCGCCTCCTAGAGGCATTGTATTGATGAATCTCAAACTATGAGGAGACAACTATGTAGTGCTTCTCAGTTGTTTGATGGTCCTCTGTATGATATCAACCGGTAACGATATGTAACTGACAAGCATGCTGGTGGCGGCTTTATGGTTTAATTGGTACATATTTTGAAGAAGCAGCTGATAAAGTAAATGACTACCTGGAAAATTAGCGTTTAATATAAAAAAAGCTGCGAAACCTAGAATAACTGAGTTCGTAATCCACAAAAATCAGAGATATGATCAAATCAAGCAGACAACCGACAACAGTTCCATGTTAACCTGACGTGTTTTTCATAGTTTTAGGTCCTAATTTTTTTTCTAGGCAAACTGGTGACATCATGATGCAAACGTTGAAGATTCCTATGATCCACTGTGTATACTCCGGGATTCGAAGAAAAATGCTGAAGAAATATGCATGCTGAAATATATAACTTTATAAATATTTATAAAGGCTATCTAATCAGTTCAGACAATAGAAAGTAATCTGCCTTATGGATAAGACTTTATTTTGATAAAACCACACAGTGTTGTATAGTAATATTTGCTGATGACGAGCACTAATTATTACTCATCATATCAAGTTGTGCGAGTGACTTGATATGATTGTGAGCAATAATTTGTGCTCGAAACGTGGTCATCAGTTAATATTACTGTACAACACTGTGTGATTTATCAAAATAAAATCTTATCCATAATGGAGTTACACTCTACCACAGCGCCCAAGTTTTATACTTATATCGAAAGTAATCTTCACCTGAAACATAATGGCACATCAAACTGGTGAATACTCTGGGACTTTTCAGCAGCTAACCGATATAGACCGTGAGAAGGATAATGACAACATAGAATTAATATAATTACCATAAAAAAAGAATTCACAAGCTGCACATTATTATTACTTTTCCTAATGACCTTGACTAGCAGTTTATTTCATTCCTAGAATTGAACAACTTTTAATTTTATAAGATTTTTAGGGAAATCAAATATTAAAATGTTTACATTGTTTTGTCATTTTATCATTTCCTCTTATCTTCCACCAACTGTACCACTTGCTTTCACATTACTTAATCCTTGAAATCATTGTTGTTGGTTCTGTGCTGCTGTTTTTACTAGTATTGTCGTACTAATTGGCAAAACAGATACCACTGGTTACCTTGTTTTCTTATGCATATTAGGTTAGTACTTTAATTCTGAAGATTTAAGAAAGCTCCTAAAGCCGGTCAGAGTTCTTTAATTCTGATGGTATGACAAATGATACAATTAACAATCTAAAACGATTGCTCTTATAATTTTATTTGCTAATTAATCAACATTTACACATCCAATAACCTGCTGAAATAGTTACATAAAACTATAACACCACTTCTAATTGTACCAACCTTTAGTAGAGTCATGTAATAACTGCTTTTTATACTAAATTTCCAGCGGTTTTGGTTTCAGTGTCCTAAGTAACAATGTGTATGTGAAGAGGAAAGTTCAGTTGTTAATGGACTGTTATTCTGGAAGTAAACAGTCCAGTACTCTCAGGTTTCCAATGGTTCTCTAACCGACATTAGCTCATGATTAAATCCTGTAGCCATTCAAATTCCCGCAAACCAACAATTTAACGTTCTAGATATGCTTGTGAATCGGTTTGTGCGACCTGTATTAAAAATTTGGAATGAAGAGTGTTCATTTTTCTTGTCTAACGTTAAATATGAGAAACCGACAGAAGTAAAATATGCTGTAAACTTATTTGATTTTGATCAAAATAAATTTACAGTAGTCGAACTCATCCGTAACGTTTGTGGTGAATTGACTGACACTAATATTATGGAAAATTTTTCAGGTTAAACTATGAATAATCAGTAAATATTACCACACAGTAATAATCTTCACGAAAGTGAAACACAACTTGGAATTACGTTTTCTAAATTTTCTATTTATCACAAGTTACTGAGTGTTAGAAAGTCAGGTTTCCATGATTCGTAAATTGATTCCTGAAGTGGAATACTTATAATTCTGAAGAGAAATCTGATCCGTAGATAGGGAAATAGGAAAACGTGGCAGTTCACAAAAGCTTCTTAAGAGAACAAAAAATCTAAGCAAGACAATAAAGCCCTCTTACTTTTCGTAGAGGTCCTCTGGCGTTTATTTAGGAGGTGGCACTGAAATAGAATTACTAGACATCCAAACCTTCACAATGGTCAGAAATAACTTCCGTGTTCCTGACTGAATTCCGTGCTAACTTCTGCAGACAGGTTTTTTTTCAACGAGAAGTGAAGAATAAATCAGTCATCATGATGAAGTTTATAATTTTTACTTTATCTCTGAGAAACTGACTATGGGATTCTCCGAGAACTATATTTTCAAATTATTTCCAATCAATACCATACTTGACTGTTTAAAAGATCGTTAGAGCAAACTAACAAAATTTAATCAGATATCTGATCAAAGCTTTTTTGCTGTGCCAGTCTGGCTCCATCAAAAGTGAACTTTTCTGAAAGCGAAAATATTTCTTAACATTCAGCGTTAGTACGAACAATTGTGACAGATTTCAAGGCTTTTCGGTAATGACTGAGGAAACTTGTAGCTACATAAAACAGTGGCAGTCACAGTAAAACTTTTGACCAAATTGTTGACCTTTAGTTTCTCTGAGACAATGTATTGACGTGGCTAAATATATGGCATTGTAACGCGATGAATACAGAATCTATTTTAAAAATGTTTTTATACGTCCATAATCTGAAGCAGAAAAATATTCGCTTGTTTTCATTTCGTTTAAGATCAACTGTTGAAAATATTATTTTGTTTATGTTCATTATCTCGCAAAATAAAATGAAGCTTGAAAGGTTATAGGAATCTGTTAGAGAAAAAATGCGTTAAGCAAGTGAAATACGTGTAGTCTTTACAAGATATATTATTTCGTATCCCGAATTACATGGACGTTGTTATCTGTATTTTCCTGGGAAAAATTAAAATGCCTTCCTTTTATTTTCCAATGAGCCAACGATATTGTTTGCTATTTTTGAATCCCAGGGGACTGAAATAATAAACAGCTCGATGAATGCAGACAAGTGATAGAAGGTATCTTTAAGGTGTTGTGTATAAAAGTGAAGATTTTCCCTCTTATAATGAGTACACAAATTATGCGGTCAAAAAAGATAACTGTATTCACTACTTTATAACAAGAGTGACTTTAGGTGAACAGGTGGGAACTGTTCGTTGTCATGCGAAGTAGAACTTGAAGCGCTTGTAGACTATGAAGGCTATGACAGAATTCACAGTGACTTCCATGGAACTCTATAGACTGATGTAAAATTTGTTTGACTTCTTCGATTTCATTATCTGATGCTCTACAAGCAATTTAAAATGAAAACCACTAGCCATAACTTCTGAAATGTGTTTCATATGATTTGGAAAACTTCAGGCTTTCTGTTACATCTCAGAGTAACATTTAACTCTAAATTAGACTACTCACCGACACTGTCGATTATCTGATCACTAAAAGTCACTTTAGTTTTTCTGAATAACTCCAGTAAAGTAAAATGAAAAGCTGATAATGTATGTGAACAATCCCTTTTCAAAGTGAGATCAGAGTGCATTTACGCAAATGAACAGTGAAGGCTGAATAGTGTCTGATAAGACAGTAACATCATCAGAAATCTGCTATCTAATCAAATAAGACGCTAAATCTTATCAATATGCTTCTTGATTGTAATCATCTGCTTGAATTATCAAATAAATATATTTTTTTCAGATTTTGCTCCCTATCTGAAATACTAACAGTTAAAATCAGAAAAATATTTACTTATCTTACTACCTGTGACTCAGTGAAATCTCCAAGTGGACAATTGCAGTTTAAAAATCCAGTATTGGGCAGATAAAATCCCCTGAAGATGAACAGTAAGTAGCATCTTAATCAATAAGACAAAAGGAGAAAATACTTTGATGGGTTACAGATGTTAATTTTATTTTTTCATCTATCTGACCACAAATTTTGATTCACTACCGTATTTGATATTTTGTAGTCCCACAACCGGTATCCATTCTTAATTTTGAAATTTGTTCACTTTGCTGAAATTGGCGACAAATGACTGTGAATTCTTATATCAAACAAAATATTATTACTGATTCGTTGTAGGAAGGTGCTTTAAAGACATTATTCCCTGATTTCCGTCCAAACTAGTGTTATAGAGTACTGAACAGTTTTAATCGAAACATTTTAATGTTAAAACAGCAGTCCTTATGGTATTAACATTCTTTAGCTATCGATAAGCAATATGAACTGCTTTACTGATTCACAGTCTTCCGGATCAAATTGATTTGAGTATTGTATGTGCCCAATATTATGATGCTTTGAAACATTTGTCCTTTACTCTAACACAGGCTGCATTTAAAATTATAGGATGTATTGTATCTTTTAAAAGCGTTTAAAATTTAACATAACCTTTGTCCTAAAGAAATAAATAACTCAAACACAATCAGTTTTATACAAAAACTCATTCTGTAAAAATGAGTCTGAACAAAGTAGTTTTTCATTCGACTCAAAATCATCTGACGTTTTTGTTAAATTAATAGAATCTTTATTCTGACTCTGAAGTGTTTCCATTAACACTTTATCACTTTTATTTATAGGAGAGCCATGCAAATCTTGAATGTTTAGTTGACTGTGATCAAAAGTATACTGATTAAGTTTTTGATGGTCCAAATTATTAGAATTATCATGGTTGCTGCTTATGAGATTGTCATTATGACCCTGAGTAGGTAGTAATCTGTCTTTTGTAGTGCACTCACATGTATTAACATTCAGCACTGAAGGGTTCGGTATATAAAACTTTCTATCTTCTCTTTTCAAGGGACAGGAAGTCAGTGTACATAAGTTGGTTGATTGACATCTGAAATTGATAGAAAACGTTTGTTAATGTGACAAAATATAAGTACATAAATTATGTGGATATTTGTAAGTAAAAAGTTTGTATATAACAGATTTTTATCACTTTTTAGCGAGAATAATTCAAATTACCTTGTCGTTATGCTGACTGCTTTAAGCCGTACTTACCAATCACAGCATCATGAATATCAAGCACTGCTGTAGCCTAACTACTCTCACATATTTAACTATGAAATCTGAGTTATATCTTCTTTCATTATGAAGCTTACTACCCATGTAAAACAACTCAATGTGTTGTTCAGCCTAACATTTCCCTCACAGAATAGTTAAATAATTAAATTCCTTTTGGTTCCAAACCAAACAGGAAGACTATCGTTTTCGATTGCACTCCTCTTTCCTAACTTTCTAAATATGTTCGGTTAACGAATGACATGACAAGGAGTAGAATTTACTCAAATACGGGCTGACGAGAAGCCTTCGCAAGTGAAGTGAATATCGATTGTTCGTGAAGTCGAAAGAAATAGAAAAGACACCAGCAGTAAACAATCCGCTGCAACTATTGGGTTATATTAGAAATAGTGGGTTATAATAAGTCAGCAAGTTTCTGATAAGAATAGAACTTCATAATTCTCTACAGATGCCTGCTAGAACGATTTATGGAACAATTTCACCTGTGATTAAACTGGCCGATTATACTATTTTCCCGCCATCCAGCTACAGACTGAATGGAATGTAAATATCAGCACTCCATCTTTAGCTGGAGTTGCAAGTGCCGTTTTTAATCCAGAACAAGGCAAAATGTTTAAACATGACTAAATTAACCACTGTGCTTGCAAATACACGGGAACCTGAGATGGTTTCATCACACAAATATTCCTGCGGTATCTGTAGGAGGGCCAGCTTGCCTAATGTAGTATTTTAAATCCTAGGATTCATACTTCTAGGGGGACCATGTGGGCCCCGTGGAAAAGCATTCACCCTTCAGTACGTATACGTGTTTACTTTCCACACTGCTTGAAATGATGTCGTTGACAAGCAGGTGTTGCGTCAATGCATGGGGGTGAAGGAAACGCCGAGAATACACATTAGGCTTATGATCAGACTCTAAAGAAATTTATGTGGTCGTGTAAAATTTTTACAGCTGTGGTGTGAATTACTGATAACCAACGATAGTTTTGGAGGAATACTCACAGTCATCATCCTTATTTGAATTCATTGCAAATGTGATGACAGACGTAACTTTGGTTGGATATGTTCACCAGTTCATTTAGTTGGTAAGCTGAGTCAGACTGTTCACTGATGAAAGCTCAGCATGGATACAGGAGGATAGTTTGACATTTTAGAACTTGCGTCATCATTAATTTTGATGTGATATCCAAATACGTACGAAAATGTGTGTATACTGTGCAGTAGTTTGCCCCTTTTTATCTTACGGTTGTGATATGGCTGTTGAAGGTAGAGTTTACAAAATGTCTGAAGATTTCTTACTTTTTTTACTGGCTCAGGCTATACGAAGATGCATGCTAAGTAAGTAAGCAAATAAGGACAGATTGTGATTCTCTATCGACTTGGAGAGCTAAAACAGGTGCGAGGCAAACCCTACTACCACCATTCTTGCAGAATGACATCAGCTGAAGCAGATTTATTTTGCGAAAAACTCAGAGGTGGTCAAAATTCATGCAGTCATTGACTGTTTGAGCCAAATAGAAAAGAGAATGTCATCCCTCTTTCCACTGAAGTTTCATTACACTTCTCTTGTCTACCATCATATATCTGCGAAAACTCGAACTTCTGTTTGGGTTTCTAAGATATTCATTCAGTCAGTCAGTCAATCACAAAAAAGCAGCACCAAAATCTCTCCTTTTATGCAAAACTTTTGAGCATAACGAATACCTAGCTTAAATTGAGCTCAAGAATATCTGGCTCCAGGAAACAACAGCTGTCATTCTGTCTGCAATCAGACAATCCGGCTAAAAAAAATCTTGTGCCTTCTGATCTAAGTCAACGAAAAGTGGCTGTTAATTACCTCATAGTCAGCATTCAGTAAAAGTTTCATACTGCCATTCTACATTTCATAACTTTATTCCTAGAAAGGAATTATTTACTAAATTTCCAATCATTATTAATAATTGTCTTTGTCTATTCTATGAACAATAGGCAGTATTCATCCTAAATAAAGAAAAGACTAATGACTTCAATTATGGCGCCACTCATTTCAAAATGTCATTAACTTTAGGTAAAAGAATGTTTATTTTTCACAGAAGCAATAAGCTAAGGCATTAAGGTTATTTTGAAACACAAAAGACTGCTCCATACAATTTTCTAAAATGTTGACATTAATACAAAAAACACTCATTGAACATACTGAGTTAAAACTTGAAAATTTACCATTTTTAATATACCTCTATTGATGCATACTTTAAGTGTAAATGGAAAAGAAGAGTTTGCATATCAGTTTAAGGATTGTAGCAATAGCTTACGTTTTCTAAGAAGCACAAAAAGTGAGATATGCTGTTTTTCCTTGAAACTGAATGAATTATTATAATAACGTTTATTAGATTTTCCAACTTGCATTCTGTGGCAGCATTTCTTTCTGTTTTCCCATGTGAACGTTTCAGTGCTCAGTGAATGCTACTAAATCTATCTTGTTTTCACTAGCCTTTTTGATTATGAAAAATACGAGAAGGTCGATAATGATTTGTCTGTATTGAAGAGAAGCAAATGTGCAGTACTTGTAAATATGTTTACCACTCTTCTTTCATGCCCATAGACGATAAGTCCTACATAAAAATGATATGTAAACCAGCTGAACAACAATGACTGTGTCATGATAACTGGTGACTTTAATTGCGACTATTTGTTACCTTTCTTTTGACTAAATTTTTTTCCAAATTTATGCTAAATGTATTCACGTAAATAGAGCCTACTAGTAATAAGAGACACCGCCATTTCAACAATAATGATAAGTGGGAACAGATATGTGCAAGCTCGCATCTTGAATGGATCTGCATTTGTAATTTCATCTCGTTAGAACTTCAGGATAAACACTTTTCTTGAAATACTGCCATTGATTGCTGACTGCCGAAAATTTGCCAAAACAACATTAAGTGTACTCATACTTCAGTTTTTGATGAGATTTTGATTATCTTGAGCATGAATCATCATCCATTAATAAACCATTGAAAACTGAACAGCATTACTTAGCTGGTTTTTCCAGTTTGAAAATTTTCAGAGGAACACAAACTCACTAAGGATATAATTAGAATTCGTTACCAATAGGGTCCACCATGTTAGGCGTAAAGCGGATGCTCGCTGATACCTGTGATTGGCGGTAGCGTCATATTGAGAAGTAAAATAAGTTAGAGTTCACGAATCACTCAGTTTCAGCAAACCGGCTAAATAGTCAGTGGGCTCAAATCGCAACCTGAATCCCTTGACAGGGACGAAGAAGCTGTCAGTCACCCATAGATTTCAGTGATTTGATAAGTGATGTCAGCTAGTGATTAAATATTCACTGAAAAAAATCCAGTGCTCACTAATGTTAACTAAGATGATCAATGTGTATTCAAGTCCCAGAAATAAGAAAATGAAAAGTTCAAATTTTTCAAAATCACAGTTTTATTCTTGATTAAGTGTTTTCCGAGATAACTTAATCATGGTCACTAAACTCTTGAATCATTGACTTGTACGCTTTTTAAGTCAATGAGTATTAACACACAGCCAGATATACAGTTTCTGTATCTCTGATTATATCTTTTTGGTGTTTAATCCTTTTTCTGGTGAAAGGTTAGTTAACAGTTGATTAAAAATCGACATGTTTATTGTTGGTAATATGATCGAAATCTTCTGGTCACGCGGTTTCTTTTTTACAGTGAGTTAAGTACATTTTGGTGTTTTCAATCACTTGTTTTGATCCTCGTCTTGCTTCAATCTTCTCTCAGTGTATACATGCATAAATGCTTCGTGAATAAACTGGTAACTTAACTTTAATTTGATAAAAACAGAAACTACCAACTGTTTAAATTAGAGTAAATTCATAATAAAACTTGTGTAATTCAGCTAACAGAATCGCATTGTTTATATATTGTACCAGTTAGATTACAATCTTTTGTAAGATGGAAATAAAAATCCTATTTTTCAAACGAAATGATGAAAATTTTGTGCTATACTCTACGTGAGAACTTGCACAAACTGAGTGAATGTATACTACTAAGGGTGTTTTTACAGCTGGTGCATTATGGCCGAGTCTCAAACATGTCATGACTCCTAAAAGAGTTATGATGTATGAAAATAAGGTTTTGTTGGCAGTAATTAGGAAAATAGGAGAAACATATACCATTTGTTATCATGAAATCTGATTATTCCAGAAAATTACAGTAGTTTGAATTCGGAGATCTGTTCATACACACATCACATCTTTACAGGTCTTAGCATAAATAAATTAGTGACGGATGTTTTAACCATCTGAAACCTCAAGTCAAAATGAATTTCTTCAAGTTTAGAGATTCTCCCATTTGACTACTGCTGGCGAAAACGAGAAGTAGTCCAGGTGCTTCTTACCGCGTAAATCCCCTGAATTTTTGATATCAGAGGACTGTATTCCTGTTCACTGGTTTTTGTCACCTGACAGATTTTGATGGGAACAATTTGGACAAAATAGATTCAATTACCAACATGTGAAAAAATTCCGTATAATTTTTTTCACTTACATTTAAATCAGAATTTCAGCTAATAGAGAACTGTCGTTCCTAAGCCTAGTTAATCTAAAAAACTTCATCTCTACACAGAATTGTATCACTGGTAATATTTTCACTCAAAATCTTATTCCAACTGCACTAATAATATCTCACTTTGTTTCTGAGAACTTATTCACATGATTACTTGAAACTTTTAGTGTCAGAGATTCGATTATTTAACAGACAAATTATTATTACTAATTATTAGCATCCGTTAAATCATTGTGATTTTAGATTTTTTTTATTCCTTCTCGTTCCCTAGCTAGAGGCTTGAAGCTTCTGTAGCAGTGTTTATTTTTATAAGATGGAGTTGCTAGCCTGATGCCCAAACTTCCCTCTTTACCAGCTTTTATTTCTGGCTTAGCGAGATAAAGGAGTGCGCCGGCCGGGGATCGAACCCCGGACCATGTGCATGGTTGGCGAGCGTCCTAACCGCTGTGCCACCGATGGACGAGTTTAGATTTTAGGAGATACTAATTTGAATGTGTGAGGAAATGTCTTCCTTCGAATATAAATATAACTACTGTGCAACAGTAGAATATGCTAACGTAAATGTCACATGTAACATGAACACTAAATGTTTCACTGGTTAGCTCACCTAGTATCGTGTTTATGTTCTACAAAAGGAAACAAAGGGTTTATCACATTGTTTTCATGAGCATAATCTGACACTTGATCAGAAATAACAAAGTTGTCTGTCGTAAGTGACGTAGAAGATACTACAGATGGGCCTTCCTTCGAAACATCTACATCTGGATTGTGTACAAGGAATTCTCTTGACAATATTGGTTGTTTGTTTGAAGGTGATGAGAGAGGATCAAAAATTGTGCTTGGATTTGAACCTGGAATATTACCGTTGTCGGCTGTACTATAAGTATCACCAGTTGTTGTAATATGTGTTGTTGTTCTGCCCGTTTTTAATTTTCCTGAATTTTCTGTTTTGTCCAACTCGTCTAAAACAGTTATGGTCAAATCTACACCGTCAGGATAATGTCTAAACCAGTGCATTGCAGTCAGCTGGTCCCATCCATGTACACATTGTCCATTCAGTGACACTACCTGTTGACCAGAACGCAGACCAACACGTGATGCAGGTGAGTTAGGTAAGACTACATCAATCTGAAGTTCCTACAAAATAAAAATTGATAAAATATCTGTTAATTAAAACAGATACTAATAAACATAAATCATGTCCAATCCTAGGTGGGTTTTAAAAGAGTGGAAGAATAAATATATCCCACTTTAATTAGGATCTTATTTACAACTCTATTCTAGCACATGCTCTTCACAGTTGAAACAGAAATACCAAACATGGTGGTGGCTTAAATGGGACTAACTGTAAATCAATGTTTACCTTGAAAACGATTTAGATTAAACAAGACACTAAACAATCAGAAGTTACAGCGTGGATAAGTTGCACGAATAGTTGGCTAGATAACTTGTCAAATAAGAACTTGTTTACCGTCAATCTAGGAATATTTTAAAATGAATATGCCTATTCTTTTGATTGTTAGGCATCTCCTTTTCTAAAAACCACTCTCTTAATTGCCAGTTTAAAATCGATAATTGATGTTTATTAACCTAAGACCCTTAAACTGATATTTCAATATTAGCAGTAAAGTCCATAAACTTTAGAGTCAGGAATTAGGACCTTATTAAAAAGGTATGTAGTCATCACTGTACACAAAGATTATGTGCGTCAGAGGTTAGTTATTATTAAGTGACACCGATTGGGTGTAATAACTAGGTAGCATCTCCTAAATAAATACTGACTAAATAATATTTGCAGACTTTGACTGATATTAAAAGTCAGTTGTACACAGCCTGAAGCACATGTAATGACATTGTTCTTGAAAGGTGTTTCTTTAACAGTAGAAAATAACCCGTTGGGTGGCTGAATCCAGTACATCGTAGTAAATGTTGAAGGGGAAATACTACTCAAGAGAAATGACTTACTCATGAGATATTACTGCTGGAAACCAGTATATAAGTAATATGAAACATTTCAAGATTGATAAGATACACACCATAGTTCCAACAAAATGGTTCAATTTTAGGATAATGGAGAAATGTAGTAGATCCGATAAAATACGAGGACGATATTTTTTTCGTCGAGTAACAACATCCATTTTAGAAGACAAAAGGAGTGCGCGAAGAAATATTCAATTTTCAGTTTGATCCTCATCACTGACTCAAAGTGACACAGCATTTTTAATATGTTTGTTAACAATAATTAGTCAATATACCCAAGCTTTTTAAAAATTGTCACTGCCTAATCATTCTATTTTATCCTGACCACATCATCTTTTATTATACGTTATCATTGTCCAAATTATTTTATTTGTCTAACTCCATCTTTAACTGTCAATTACGTGTTAGGTTTGAAAACTCACTTATTCTCAAATTATGCATTGTGCAATCCACTTGTTGTTACCCTTTCTATCCTTTAATTGTTTGTATTCATTTTTTGGTTGACTATCAGCCCCCTTGACATAATGATATTGACTAACTATTGTTCACAAACTTATTGCAACTAGAATGGTACAATTTTTTGCATTGTATTAAAAGTGCTGTGTATATCAGAATAGAGCCAGACGTGAGGGTCTAATTGAAAAGTAAATATCTCTTCGCTCAGTCCTTCTGCCTTTTGAACATCCACTTTGAATAATAGACAACAGCGACGAAACTTTCATTCTCTCATATTATCCTTAATAATTCACCTCTACCTTTTAGTCCGATTTATATATTAGTCTTCATAAAGAAGTGAGGTGCGTATTGACCAGACAGGGATAGTAAATCAGACATCGAAAGCGTAGTTACTGTCAAGCTGATGAGACAAGCCTCATACTTACCTGCTGGTGAATCTCTGTTTACCGATCATTAACTAAAACTGAAATAACTGTGACTTAAGGTATTCCCTTTTGAGTGACTAGTTACTCAGATGTTATAAAAGGTAACAAATAAATAGGTAAAATTTATTCTCCACTCTCAGACTATATTTTTCTTCCATCGTTGGAGATATTTCAGGGCCTACATCAATAAATCTTCATATCACTTTGAATAAACTTTGAATACTTTAGCAGTTCAAAAAACTAGCGTTAATATCTTCTTTGGTGATTACATATACTTCAGAATCTTAGGCGATTACTAGTTGGTCAACTTGTTAATCATCATTGCATGCAAAATGCAGATATTTCAAATTATAATATTTTTGGAATTTAAACATATTCGAAAGCTGTTGTAATTCATGCAAGCGACCTTACTTACTTTTCAGGATGGTTTCCTTCTTGCCTGCAAAGCGAGAAATTAGACTTCTACATCACATTATGGAGACAAGTGCTAGGTAAATTATTGTTACTCATTCTCTTATTTCAGTCCTAAGAGGCGCATGTTAACCACTTTTCACTTAAAATAACGCTAATTTAGGCATACTCCAAAAATGCCTATCTGCAGATAGGGACCGAAAAGTCTCTCTACGTCTAAAGTGTATAAGGGTTTTTGTACCTGCATAAATATAACCATTTTTCGCATAAAATACTAATTTTATAACATCCTTATTTATTACGCATAGGAGAATTGCACTACATATTCTATCCTCAGCTTTTGTCCATCCGTCAAACTAAAATCTAATAAAGTATTGCTGAAAGCAACAGGAAATGGCTTTTATTCATTTTATGTTGTTAAGCTCAAAAAATTGACAACTAGGATAGTTTGGAAACAATTCTAGTTTCATCAGTAAGTTACACTGCAAAACATTGCTGATAGTAGTAGTAAGCAAAAAAATATGTAAAATCTTAAGTCAAGTTATTTCGACTATTCAGTGCTTTGTGAATTGATAATTTAATCATTACACTGGATACCAAAAACTAGGTAGTGGGACTGTCGGTCCCAAAATTATTTGGGACTTGTTTGACTCTTTCATTTCCTGTAACACAAATATGAATGGGTGGGCTGTTGTGTCAAACTTTATTTGATTTATGATACAGCCTGCTTGTTTTTTTCTTTCTGTCTCTCTCTCTACGAAATAGTTTAGTGCCTCTTTATCATAATTTATGATATTTCCCGATAAAATAGAACAACACTATATAGGCTTTATTTACACTAAAAATTGATTTTCACTCACATAAACTTTTTACCATGTAAGCCACAAGGTAAGTTGGTTGCACACTATTAGATCATTGAAAGGAAAATTTCTCTTAAGTGGCTACGTTCAAAGTACAAACTCTGAAATGACTTTGAGTACTTTTTAATTATTTACCCACATGCAGCCACAGATCTGATGACAGCTTCGTTTCACCGAGATTCAACTGGAATTAAAAACTGCACACCAATAGACATAAAAGTAGCATTGAATGCGAGTCTCAGCTGTCTAACATACCAATGATTTCAGACTAAATCGCATGAACATTCATGGTTGTTTAATTTTATAAAAATTAACTGAAGTGTGTTCCTGTAGCGTAGAAACAGGTTAAATGTACAGAACAACTAGAATTTAATGTGGAAACACACGACTGAAAAAGATGTATTCAAGATGCAGAGGCCGTCTAAGGAACTCATTTTTTAATTACCTCTGAATAACATGTTCAAGACAATCAGTTAATCCCTTAACAGTAAAGTGAATTCATAATAATTGGACACGGCTACAGTACTTAAAAAACATCAGTCAGCTTACGTTTTGATAGCTTCTTAGTTTTATTCCAATTTTCCCATTCTGTTTTCGAATAACTGTTGTAAGAAGATATGAAGTGAACGGCCTGCAAAACAAGAAAATATCAGAGAAATGAATAAAGCTACTAAACATGTCAACATATATTATATAAGTTGTATTGTTAATTATCACAATCAAAAAAAAGCTATGCAGTTATAAATTTCTATTCACTACTGAAGTTTCATTAAGATGAATGCTTCTCTGAGACTTCAAGAATACAAGGAAACAATCTTCATTCGCCTTTTTCTTCCTGCCATCATGATATAAACACCGAAATCTATTCTGTGTATATAGGCATATATATAATTGTAGAGCCAGAAGAGGAATTTATCGAAAAAGACATTCTTTGCTCAATTTTTTTGTGTTTTATAAATGTCTGAATGAATATTTTGGCTATATTAAAATCTATACTGTCAAACGCTGAGTAATATCTAACACAGAGATTCGGATACTATGTGTGTTCTTTTGAAGATTTTTGGAAAGGAGGTGTAAAACGTGTGATGGTGTTCATAATTACCGGTCTGTTGGAGAAGTGAGAAACTAAAGCAGCAGAATTACATATTCATTATCCTGACATTTATATCTACAAGTTTTTATTGTAGTTGATTTGGATAATAATCCAGGTATCCAAAAAGAGTTAATAACCGTTTGACGGAATGATATTAGTAGAATCGCGTATGCTTTTGAGTTCTTATTGTGTTTGAATCAGTTGATGTAGATGGAATGAAATATAAATAAAGTCATTTGGCAAGCTGGTCACTGTTGAGTATCAAAACTTTAAGAAAATAATTATTAGCGAATATTCTTTCTCAAATAATTTCAATTCTGACTGAAAATGAAATGCTACCAAATAACTATTTGCATTTCCACGCAGCTATCAGTGAGCCACAACTAGTGCATGAAAGTTAGTGATGTTATTTGGTTATCCAAACTCTCGTTGGTGGAAAGAGGAATTGTTCGTAAGATGAGTGCCGTAGCTCCACAAAGATAAGTCTTATGTACCAGTTCAAGAGCTACGCCTATTGTATGAGGGCTAACGATGCTACTCGTAAACCCAGGCTGCTGCTGCTGGATTCAACATAGAACTTGGCACCGAAGTGCAGCAGTTCGAGTTGCCACGTTCCAAATAGCACACAAAGGTAGACAGGAAAAGGGAAGAAGAGAATCAATAGAATTTAGATAAGTATAAGAGTGAAACAGAATGAGTAATGGTAGAAAGGAATATGAAGGTTAAAGAGACTGAATACATCTGCGTAAGCCATTGACAACGATTTTGAGCCATGTCACCTATTGTCTCCAGCCATTGATTCTTAGAGTCCCGAGGGCCCCAACCCGGAAGTCTGCATCTCCCTACCTGACTCAGTTTAACTGTCAAGGATTTCATGGATTGATGAGGCCATGTTTTTGTTTGGCCACCACTTACTCTTTTCCAACCTGCACCTATATCAGCTAGTAATGCCCATCGGGGGAGACGATGGTTAGGCATGCACAGCACGTGACCTAACCATCTCAATCTATGTAACTTCATAGCCTCTTCGAGTGATTTTCCCTCTTTGCCCAACACTCTATGCCTAACGTCAACATTACTTACCTTATTATACCACCTAACCCAGGCTGTAGTAGAAGAAGCGGGTTTCGAGCCTGTGAGCTAAATTCTAACCAGATATGTGAGTCGGTGGCACAGTGGTAAGGACTCTCGCCGACCATGCACATGGTCCGGTGTTCGATCCGCTACCGACGCACACCTGATATCTATGGTCGGCCTGAAAAATTTGGGCTACCGATATCACATACTGAAAATTCCATACCTGTACCAAAACATACGGTGTGGAATCAAGCTGTAATCAAAAATAAATAAAAATATACTAAAGCCATTAACAGTGAATAGTTTCGTATGGGAAACAGTAAGTCGTTAAAAGACTGAAATTTCAGCAACAAAGAAATAACAATGTCTTAGTGGACTTAAAGTGAAAAAGTCAGAGATATTAAATAGCCTTTCATTTCCTACTGGATTTATGATCATTGGTAGAATAGAATTTTAATGACTTTCATCTTCTTATTTGTATTTTATAGTTCTTAGTGATGAGAAAGAAGCTATAAACTTCTGTCACATTAAACCATAAATACGGTGAGACTAAGTGCTTATCTCTAGTGCAACGTCTTTCATACCTTTGACCTATTGTGAGCATTTGTTGATACAATGGTAGTGCCTGGGCCTCATCTTTAACAAGGGAAATTAAACAGTGGTTTAATATTGAGAACACTTGGCTTTGAAACAATAATAAAAGGATTTTATTCATCCTACTCATTTTGGATAAACTGAAATTCTTGATTTATTTTCGGTAAGAAATTTAAAAATTTAACGATAGCTACTCTTGTATTCTAAATCTTAAACGGAGTTGTGCGTTTCATGCACACACAGTAGAATTTCAGGTATCCCTAAATGCAATTTTTATGGAGATGTTGTACATCAAATGCATAGTTCAACTGCGTTTTCAAGGAGCCACTTAGAAGGTGATATGAATTCTAGTTAGACTATTGATTCCAGGCTGCTAGAAAATATTCACTTAGTATTCAATATTTGGTGACAAATTTTGTCTTATACTACAGTCTTACGGTGGATCCTTCTTGATGTAAATAAAATACTCGTGAAAAAAATTAAGTTTGGCATTTAAAACTGCATATTATCTACCAATTGTGGTAGGACAAGAAGATCATTCAGACTCCCATAAATATGTAAGCAATCTTGTGAACATCTATTGCCTGGAATGAAATCACTTGAGGCTTACTTTTTTATCACTCTAGCTAATGATGTGTTTAAAAACCTGTTTTGTTCGATAACAACACAAATGGTATTTCAATTAACCTTTCAGTAAGCATCTTGATAGTCTAAGTTCACTATAGTGCAGAGGAGAATTGTGTGTCTGAAATAATTAGTATGAAAATCATCAGTTATGATTTGTAATAATTGAACTTCCTAGAAACACCTGTTTAAGTGACTAGATTTCAATGTGAATACTGTTTTAGAATGTAGAAAAAGATGCATAAACATGAGGCATATAAAGGATAAAAAAGGTGACAAAATGTTATCAACACTGTCTAAAGAATAATCCAAAGTACAACACTTGGTATGAAAATAAGTGTTATGTGACAAATTACAACATTCTGCGTTTATTTATCTTGAGCACTGTTATCGTGAACAGGTGTGTACTGGGGGATTATTTATTCTACGCATGAGATTCAAAGCTTGTCATATCTCATCAAAAAGTCTATGTGATATGGTATTTAAAATGCTTGAACTTTAAAAATATATGTTTATGTTTTTATAGACTTAAAACTGGAAACCTGCCTGACACTCAGTTGACTAAGTTGTTTCACTTTAACCGTTACGTTTCTTGAAGAGTTTATATCTGAATGAGGAATATATTATTTTCTATTCACTAACATGACACTGTGGTTCAGGTGACATATTCGCATCTAAATACGACACATGATGAGTTAAAGAGAGCACGAATGAGAATAACTAAGAATATCTATGATCACGTAGAGTAATGATTTAAGGAGTAAAAGGTTGTATTGTTTCAGTTATCACCTCTTGAGGATTAGGCGCATTTTGCTAAATTCGGTTCATAATAGTTATGGTACAAACAACGATGCAGCTTTGCAACAAAAGTACGGTCTCTTCCTAATTTTTCTGACATTCAGCTTATTTTTATGTTGATGCTGTTGAGCTGTAATCTATCAATATTATTGATTCGATGTTATTTAAACATTAATGTTGTTCATAACGCTAATTCATTCATTCATTCACTATTATAGATATAACTGTAGAGCCTGGTGATGAATTTATCGAAAAGAGTACTCTTTGTTCAGTATCCATTCTTTTGAAAAAATTCAAATGTTGATCCATTAGCTTTATTGGAGTGACTACAAAAACAACACTAAGTTTTGCATCAGTTCAAGTTGTCTGACTTAGGAAAAGTATACGACAATCTAGCGTATATGACGAAAACTAAGAGAGTGACCTGAGTCTTCTAATGAGATGAATTTCAGACTACTTTCCATAGTGAAATTAGTACATTGATGCCTAATTTTGTAAACTAGACAGTCAATAAAAATCGTTAACAAATTAATGAAATTATGTGGAGTAACTGTGTTAAGCGAATTAAAGCATTTGAAAACGAAAAAAGGTTTTTTCGTGGGAAGAAATATATTTAGTCTCTTTGTTACTTCATAGCTCACCACTCAAGTAACAAAATATAAATAGAACTACAATAAATAAGCTCATAACTAAGTAACTAAATATAACACCACTTTAGCAATGCATACTTAAGATGTTTTAATGTACATTTTAATCAGTATGCATCCGAGCAGATTCACATGCCATTTTCACACTTTCCGTATGCTGTCTATCACACATAAACTCCGTGTCTTATATTTAGCCGTTATCAGTTAGATAAATTACTAAACATTTATCGAAATAAATATAACTTCTGACCAGTGAAACTTACTGCTTTCAAGTGTACATTTTCAAGTAATTCCGATTGTTGATTCCGTATTTTTCAGGTGGGGTATGTTGCTGATTTAGTTGGTACCAGTTTTCATTAGCAGTTTGAGTTAGACTGTTAAGTGGTAAAGTATAACACCACAACCTTTTCTTCCTGTACGCCCCCAAACATTCAGAGACCATGTGTACAAAACTGTTGTTATTGTCGTATGTCAGCAAGTTACTTATATAGATGAGGCATTGTCATATTAATTTTTTCGGTTCCGACGCATTAATCATACGTTTGTAGTCTTCGCCTTTGAATTTAATTTTAACATAAGTATGCTTACTTTGAGGACAACTGAAGAAACATTCTGATTCTGATCAGCTGTGACAGCTATAATTAGAAAACTATATCATTCTTTACCTAGTTAGCACAATCCTGGGAATGATCGGATTATAACAATTTACCAGACAACCAGAAAGATGCGTTAATCATTCTTATGTGCTTTAAATGTCATTTAAACCTTATTCTCTTTCACTGGAAGAAGACAGATTTC